ATATTGTTTTGGCTTGCTATATAGTTCTTCTTGCCTCAGCTGAATGGGCACAAAGGTGCCCACTGCACCTGGTTAGCCAAAAATACCTTAAATGTCTAATGATGGGTAAATACTTGTGTTTTTTTGAGACAGGGTCTCACTATGTAATCCAGACTAGCCTTGAGCTCATTTTGATCCTCTTGCTTCAGCCTCTCAAGTGCCCAGATTATAGGTGTGTGCCACCACAGCCAGCTGGTTGAATATTTGATAGTCACGAGGGGCTTTTGGAATCACTCGAGGTCTGGGGGGGGGGGGTATAAATGAAGGCCACTTTGTTATTTTGCCACACGGCAGCCCAGGCTATGAAATTTGGGATCCCATGTACTCACTGTTGCATCCCAAGAGTTTGGAAAGGTAAACGCCAGTGTGCAGCTCCCCATTCTCTCTCTGTCAACACAAGGCAGCACACACCAGCAGGGCCACCTGCAGGCAGCACACCCCACCTGGGGACACAAGAGCTATAGTTCCAGGCCTCCAGCCCTGACCCCAAATTCAAGGACAGAATGTCTGCCCAATTCCCTGCCTGTCCCTTCCATATTCGCTGCCTGAGACCCCTCTGAAGTCTCAGGAGGTCACGGCCTCCCTGGACATGCCCTTCACAGCTTTTCCATGTCTCCATCCTGGTGTCCTCCAGGCTGTCTGTGGGAGCTGTCTGGGGAGTGGGGAGCCAAGAGAACGCATGCTGGATCTGAGACCGTCACTTCTTCTTCCCCCTTATTTTAGCTCACTTCATTGTTGTAGAACAACTGAGAAAAATTTAATGGAAGATAAATTGCACAAAGTATAAAAACGAAAAGAGAGGGTAGGGCATAGTGGTACATGACTGTAATCACAGCACTCAGTGGCTGAGGCAAGAGGATTGTTGTGAGTTCAAAACCACTGGGGGCTACAAAGTGAGCCCAAGGACAGTCACCTGAGCTGCAGAGTGAGATCCTGTCTCAAAAACAGAGGGCTGGGGAGATGGCTCAATGGAATAAGCACTTCCCTGGCAAACGCAAGGGCCTGAGTTCAATCCCCAATTCCGTAAACAAACAAACAAAACTTGCAAAAAACAGAGAGGCCAGCTGAATGGTGGTGGCACATGCCTGTAATCCCAGCACCCTAGGAGGCTGAGGCAGGAGTACTGTAAGTTTGCCTGGGCCACTTAGGCACTTGGTAAGACTCTGTCTCAAACACACACACACAAAAAAAAAACCACACAAAAAAAATAAAGTTCAGTGCAAAGGTCAAAGGTCCTGAGTTCAATCCCTGGTACAACAAAAGCAAAACAAAATAGAGGCCAAGAGTCACTCCTTTGAGAACTGTGATCCCTTTGACCACACAGGGGCTGAGCAGCTCTTGGGCACACAGGCCCAGTGACACCTGTCCCCAGCCCAGAGCACTGCCCCATGGCTTCCTCAGTGGAGCACTAAGTTGCCTGTGGTGCTGGAGGGAGCTGGGCTCTAGGCCGATGGCACAGGGTGAGGGTCCTCCCCTCCAGGAGCCAGAAGACTGGGCAGAGGGGCCGGCTGAAGAGCGCATGGAAGGTGTGCAGGAGCCGGGCCTGTGGCTCCAGGCTGTAGAAGCTGAGGGACCCATGGTCCAGGTCCAGGTCCATGCCCAGGAGCCGTGCAGAAACTGGGGGGAGGTGCTGGGCATCCCCATTGTGCCGGGCCAGGACACCGTTCTCTTGGATGCAGAGTCCCCAGGAACAGGACTCCTGCCCAATGTTGTCCGTGATGGTTCCCCGCTTCTGTCGGGCCAGTTCTGGGTAGGCAACTCCCAGAGTCACTGAGTGGTCAGAGGTACGCACCTCCCAGTAGTGGTGCCCCCCCTGAAAGCTCTGGGCACATTGCACCTGCCAGAGTGCGAAGCTGTCCGGCCGAGCTGGACCTTGAGGCTGGCAACAGTGCTTCACCCGGCGGTCCTGACAGGAGAGGCTGAAGTGGTGGTTGGCACTGTCTGGATCAAAAGTCAGATTTCGATAATCTATTGGGGAGAAAGGGGCAGAAGTAAGCAAAGGTGCCATCCTGTCCACGGAAGGGAGAGAGCAACTACAACTCTTCACAAAGGGTGGCCTGGGCACACTGTGGGTGAGCGCTAGACATCGTCATTGCGTTCATGCCTCACCAGGACTCTGGAGTAGAATCTTAGCTGGATAGAGAAGAAAACTGAGGCCCAGAGAGATAAATTAACTCGGTACTTAATGCAAGAACGTTGATGGCTCTTGGGTCATCTTTTATTTTTTTTCCTTTTGCAGATTGGACCCAAGGCCTTTGCACTGAACTATACTATATCTGTACTGAGCCTTATTTATTTATTTTTTGTGGTATCAGGGATCGAACTTGGGACTTTGCTTTTGCCAGGTTGGTACTAATGCCACTGAGCTATCTCCTTGGCCCCAGTTTTATTTTTTAAGATAGGGTCTCACTGAGAGGCCTGTCTCAGCCTCTCAGAGTATTGAGAGGACAGGTAGGTGCTACCATGATTAGCTTTTGAACCTGTGGCTTAACATGCTATATTGGTTGCATCCATGCTGGGGAAGACATGGACCAGGATGTCCTGCTTCAGCTGTGCACAAGAAGGGTCATGGAACTAAAGTCATGGGCAGGATAGACACAGAGTGCTGTGTCATGTCTACCCCCCCACCCCCCGCACACGTGTATACACACAGGTCAATGTATACACATTTTCACACACAGGTACACACGGGCACTGAGCCTCCTTACTCTGCCAGAGTTTCCTCCTCACTGGACACATCATGCTCGGGACCTGTACCAAGGGATCTGGGGCTTCTAGGAGACAAGAGAGGGTGAGAGGAGTAGATGGGGAGGGGAGTAAGGATGAGTCCCACCCCTTCCTGTCCCCTAGTGGAAGGCCAGCCAGGCCCAGACGTGTAAGGAAAGGCTTGACGTCAGCCTTACCCACAGGGTCCAAGTCAGCAGTCTTGGCTGGGACTTTGGGAGGGGTCTCCTCTTTCAGGAGGAGGCCACACAGCAGGCTCAGCAACTCCTTCAGGGTGCCCAGCTGTTGGTCTTCATCCCATTGCACGGGGGTCAGTGGTCCAAAGGGTTCTGGGGGCTCAGAGAGTTGCTGCAGTTCCTGAGTCCCACGGACAGAGGCAGTAAGCTGGGGCACATGGGTAAAAAACAAGGCCCCAGCCCACCACCCAGAGACCTGGTACCTGGAAGAAGGTCTGGTCATCCACCTTCTCCAGGAGCTCCTGGACCCTCTGACCATATTGAGCCAGGTCCTCCAGGTGGCCCTGCAGCCGCTGCTCCACCTCCAGGGCTGGTGCCAGCACTTGTGTCTTGCCTGCCTCAATGTCCCTGAGTGCTGAGATCCGACGCAACTCCAGGGCCTGCAGCAGGCGGCTGAACTTGCCTGAGACCACTGAGCTCAGGTTGCAGGCTGAGTCCTGTGTGGTACAGGAGGCGCCTCAGGGTGGCCAGGCCCAGCAGCACCACACCAAGGCAGGCCAGGGCTACCCACTGGGCTAAGGGGTGGGATGTGGGAAACCAGAGTTCCTAGAATCTCTTCCCCCTGGGGCTGGGCTACCTGTTGGGGGCCTCACTTTCTGCTGCCGGGAGGCATTTTCAAGGTAGTAGCACCCAGGGACCAGTGAGTGGCTGCCTCGGAATGCAGTGTGAGGTGTGTATGTGTGGGTGACCCACAGGCCCCGTACCTGGATCTGGCTCCTTTGCTGCTGTAGTTCTTGGAGTTGGGTCTTGGCCTGAGTGGTCTGCTGCTGGATGAGCTCCAGCTTGGCTCTCAGCTGGGCCTGTAGTACCCATCCAGGGGCCGAGCAACAAAAGAGGGCAGGATGGACTCTGAGGTCCCCTCAGACACCATCAACCCTGGGCCACCAGCCTCAGCACACAGCCACACTTAGGTAGGAGACCACCGGAGCTAAAGATCCACCTTCCAGCCCTGTTTCTGCTTTCTGCAGGCTGAGCAAGCTGGGCCATAACCTTTCCTCCTACCTCCCAGTCAACAAGCAGGAGGCAAGGTGCTGGCTCAGCCACCCTGGGGGGAGGAGGAGCAACCCAGCTGCCACAGCTGTGACAAAGGGAAGCCCCAGCGGAAGCAAGGGCTGTACCGGCTTATGCCCCAAATCTCTTGAGGACCCAAACATTATGCCCTCGTGAGACGACAGACCTTGCTGATGCTCGCGGCCTGGTCCCCTGGCCACCCCAGGACTTGGTCTCCACCACCTAGTTAGGAGCCCACGGTGTGCTTCTGCTCTGCCTAACACCACTGTGAGGCAGGGACCACGACTACCTTCTCTGTGGCGAGGAAATAGTCTCAGAGCAGTTGGCTCTTGCCAATTCCTCACCCCAAACAGGAGTCAGGCCGGCAGGGCCCCTGGGGCCCCCCAGGAGGAAGAGCCAGCTCCCCACGCACCCACAGGCCCTTCCGGGCTCTACTCTTGCTGACTGAGGGGCGGGGCTCAGAATTCTCATCCCTCCCTCGTTTCTCCCCGCCTCCTTCCCCCATCTGAGTGGCCCATGTTGCCTTTGAGCCGGTTTCTCAGATTCTTCTCTTGCCCTTCCCCGAAGCAGGGTCACCCTGTTGTCTCTATTAAGTGCACGAGCTTTATTTACTGCACGTTGTAATATATTCGGGTTTTACTGGGGCACTGACCCCTTAAGTCGATCCCTACGTCTCTCAAGGCGAAGATCACAGCTGACCTCTTTACCAATTCTGCGCTCCCTGCGTACTGCGGGTGCCCCGTGCACACTTCCAGGCTCAGGGGTCCCTTCTGCGTTGCAGCCGCCACCACAGCCCAACCCCCGGCTTTGCATTCCCCTGGAGGTCCTGAGCAGCTCCGGCGACCCGCAGGCTGGTTACTCCGGTTGGATGGCCAAACCTTCCAGCCCATCACTAAGCCTGGGTTCCCGGAATCCGGAAGCTCCCGCGGCAGCTCCCGCCACTGTGCGCGACACCGCGCTGCCCCTTGGGGAGGCGACCCGCCCGGCAGCCCCCATCACCTCGCGCTCCTGGCGCTCCACGTCCAACAGCGCCCGCTCGTGGAGGCTGCACTCGTGCACGGTGCACACGCTGCACACACAGCGGCCGTGGGTGCGGCAGAAGAGCTCGAGCGGCCGGCCGTGACGAGGGCAGAGCGCCGCGGCCCGGGGTTCGGGGCCGAGCTCCGGCGGGGCCAGGTTCAGCACCTCCAGCACCCCGCTGAGCGCGACGTTGCGGCGCGGCTTGGCGCCGTCAGGGAAGGGCTCGCGGCACTCGGGACAGGCCTTCTCGCAGCAGCGCCACGATTTCCAGATACAAGCCGCGCAGAAGTTGTGGCCACAAGGTAGCGTCACCGGGACCTGATAGAGGTTTAGGCAGATGGAGCAGGTCAGCTTGTCCTCCAGCAGCTTGGCCGCCATGACAGAGGCGGCAGGGCCCAAGGCTGGTGGCGAGAGGGCGGGGCTGCCGCGGGAGGAGCCACGGCCTTGCCCAGAGTCACGTTTGGTGTCAGCAGCCTGCAGCCTCCGGTGGCATGCTCCAACGTCCCCACTCCATTTCCTGCAAAGTCCCACGACACCTGGCACCTTCATTCTGCTTTCTTAGACCCTCAGCCCAACTCCTGCTGGGGATATTTGAAACCAGATCTTTATGAGTTGGGCATGGTGGGGCATGCCTATAATCCCGAAATCTGGCAGGCTGTGGCAAGTTCAGGGCCAGCCAGGGCTACATAGTGAGCTACTGTAAAGAGCAGAATAAAAACAAACTACCAGTGGTCGGGAACCCTACCGGGCCTGTGGGCACCTGGGAATATTAAGGCACTCCTGGAACTGCTGCACCTGGGGGCTAGGGCTCAGTAAAAGCCCCTTTCTCAGCCTGGGCATTCTGCTGTGCTTTTTCCTGGAGGTGGGTTTCAGGCACTTGCTAAATTGGGGTGTTTCCTTTCTCTGGGTTAGGCATAATTCTGGTTCTTCTAAAGTAAACAGGTTGAGGGGTTGGGGAGATGGCTCAGTGGCCTAAGTGCTTCCCTGGCAAGTGCAAAGGCCTGAGTTCAATCCCCTGTTCTGAAAACAAAAACAAAAACAAAAAAACCCCAAACAAACAAACATTTTGGGGCCCGGGAGATGGCTCAGTGCAATAAGCGTTTCCCTGGCAAGTGCAAGGGTCTGAGTTCAATCCCTGGTTCCGGAAAAAAAAAAAAAA